CTAACAGATGAATAGATAAAATGTAGTATATATGCATCATGAGATATTATTCAGTCATTAAAAGGAATAAAGTGGTACTTGATACATGCTACAGTGTGGATGCAGCTTGAAAACACTATGCGGAGTGAAATTACCCACACACAAAAGGACAGATATTTTATGATTCCACTTATATGAGGTTCTTAAAGTAGTCAAATTCATAAAGAAAAAATCTGGAGAAAATGGGACATCAATTACTTAATAGTTATAGATTTTCTGCTTATGTGATAGAAAGCTTGGAAATAGTAATGACAGTTGCATATCACTGTGAATGTAATTGACATCACTGAATCATACATGTTAAAATGCAAATTTATTACATGTATTTTCCATGGCAAAATAAAAAGGAAAACAAAAACCAGATGACCATAAATGTGACTTTAATTTATGGACTTTTAGTTGTACTCTGTTGCTATACGTCTGTCCTTATACCAGTACCACTTTGTATTGATTCCTGTAGCCTTCTAGTAACTTGAAATCAGCAAGTGGGAATCCTCGAACTTTCTTCTTTTTGTGATTGACTATTGTGTGTCTCTTGAATTTTCATATGAGTTTTACAATCTTCTTATGAATTTTAGAACTCGGTTCTTAAGCCAAGCTCTGCCATTACTAGTTCTGGGAATTTCAAAAAAATTGCTTGTCTCATTTTTTTCATAATCATCATAGGTTATAGGAGTTAAATGAGAAAATACATGTAAATACATGTAAATGCTCAATATACTAATACTAGTAGTATTGGTACTATTATTACCACTGTCACTGTCAATGTAATACCATTTTTATATATTGACTAGAGTAAATTAGAACTCTACTAGTGTGTAGTCTTTGTTCAACAATGAGAAGTGTATTGTAATGGAAAGAACATGAAAATTGGAAAGATTCTGCCTTGAGTGCAGTAACAATGGAATATTGATAGTATGCTAAATTTATAAGTATTTTAAATCTGGCTATGTTTCTTGATGCCACAAAAATAGAAATGTATCTTCAGTAATCAGTTCATGGGACAAAATTGATGGTGAAGTTACCGTAATTTGGTTTTAGTTGTGGAATAGGAAAAAAAGATAGTTTGAAGTAAGTTTATTCTTGAACTTTCTTTTTTTTTTTATTTTTAAAATTTTTTAATGTTTTTATTTATTTTTGAGACAGAGAGAGAGCATTAGCAGGGGAGGTGCAGAGAGAGAGGGAGACACAGAATCTGAAGCAGGCTTCAGGCTCTGAGCTGTCAGCATAAAGCCCGATGTGGGGCTCAAACTCATGGAGTGTGAGATCATGACCTGAGCTGAAGTCGGACGCTTACCGACTGAGCCACCCAGGCAACCCTTGAACTTTCTTTGTTTAAACTCACTTATGACTCAGTTTTTTTGTTTGTTTCTTTTTTTTTTTTCATTACTTCTAGATTGTTTCTTTTTATGAGATTTTTTTTCTGATGTTATATCATCTTAAATTTTTTTTTACTCTATGTTATGTATAATACAGACGCCCTCCAAGTCTCCTTTGTTTTAGAATACAATTATCCTACTGTTTTGTCAGCATACTATTCATATGCATATTATTTGTATCTCCCATATCCATTTTAATCCAAGTAGGTTCATATTAAATCATATTTTACTTGCCTTTTTTTAACAGTTAAAAGCAGAGATGGCTGGGTGGCTCAGTCAGTTGAATATCCAACCCTTGATTTCAACTCGGTCCATGATCATAGGGTCATGGGATCAAGCCCCTCATAAGGCTCTTTGCTGAGCATGGAGCTTAAGATTCTCTCTCTCCCTCTGCCCCTCTTCCCCACTCACTCACTCAATTCCTCTCTCTCTCTCTCTCAAATAAAAAATAAATTAATTAAATTAAAACATTTAAGACCATTATGATTGAGGGGTGCCTGGGTGGTTCAGTCGGTTAAGCGTCCAACTCTTGCTTTCAGCTCAGGTCATGATCTCACAGTTTGTGAGTTCAAGCCTCATGTTGGGCTCTGCGCTGACAGTGTGGAGCCTACTTGGGATTTCTCCCTTCTTTCTCTCTGTCCTTCCCCAGCTTGTTCTCTCTCTCTGTCTCAATATGTAAATAAACTTAAAAAAAAAAGACTATTATAATTGATTTGATCTGATGTAGAAATACTAATCTGGAAGTTTACCTTCCCTAGGTTGGGATTTCAGGAAAGGCAGTATTTGAGTACTGTTAGTCAACATTAATCAAGAGAAAATGAGTTGTTTATTGAAGTTTATCATAGCAACTTTTTAATTTTTCTTCCAGAAGTCAACTGTTATCAACACTGCATCTTTGAATCATAATTGTACTAACAAATCAAAAGTGTTTCTGTAATAGCCATTTATTTAAAAGTTGTTGTGGGCTGCTTGTGTTATTATCAGTTTATTTTACAATGATAGGTATTTTTTAAAAACTCTTTTTTTGAAATAATTTCAAACTTTCAACTTCTGCCTAGTTCTGTTGTGACACTTTACTGCTTTATATTACAGATACTTGTTTACTCAGTCTGCTTCCATATAAGACTGTGATTTCTTTGCATCCTCATTCCCTTGGTTGTATCTATTACATAACATAAACTCAAAGAATAAAATTAACCCATTATTTGCAAGACTCTAAATTGAAGTCCTTGAGTTTTCAATAGTTTTTTTGCTCTAATTTCTTCATTGATATCCCAACAATCTCAACTTTTAATTTGAAAACTTAAATAATTGACAGTGAAAACATTTTTTAAATGCCTACTTCAAACATCTTACAGATGGTTATATAGGGGCATCTGGGTGGCTCAGTCACTTGAGTGTCTGACTCTTGATTTCAGCTGAGGTCATAATCCCAGGGTTTTGGGATTGAGCCCCACATCAGGCTCTATGCTGAGCATGGAGCCTGCTTGAGATTCATTTTCTGTCTCCTCTCTTTCTCTCTCTCCTCGCTCATCTCTCTCTCCTCTTTCTCTCCTCTCTCCTCTCTCTCTTCTCCCCCTGTGCCCCTGTCCCTGACTCACATTCTCTCTAAAAAAATTTAAAAATGGTTATATAATTTTTCATTTTAGTAGCTATGTCCTCGTTTGCTAGTTACTTACTATGGTCTTCTTTGGTATATCACTTATATATATTGTATAATATGAATTAAGTTAAATGTCATGAGTGTTTTCATCATTCAGTTGTGGCACTTTAAATCTAGGAAGTAATTCTCAAATCAAGATATGAACCCTATTTCCATTAGCAAGTATAAATAGTAATATTAAAGAGTTTAAATGTAGACTTTTCAATAAAATTCATTTGGCCAGATGAAGTTATTTTTTAATGGAAACCAGAATGTCATTTTTATACGTTTATTTATTTATTTTGAGAGAGAAAGAGAGTACATAAGCAAGCACGCATGAGTGGAGGAGGGGCAGAGAGAAAGAGAGAATTCCAAGCAAGCTCCATGCTGTCAGCACAGAGCCTGACTTGAGGCTTAAACCCACGAAGCATGAGATCATGAGCTCAGCCAAACTCAAGAGTTAGACACTTAATCACCAGCAGCCCCAAAAATGTCATTTATTAATTTACTTTTGAGACAGGAGATGATATCCTAAAGTATCTAAAGTGTGTAAATGCCTTATTTGTGATTCTCTTTTCTAAAATTCAGATACTTATAAAGTCAAATAAGTAATCAGAAAGTTCCTTTTTAAGCACTGAATCTGAGTAATGATAGGTAAATAATCTTGGAGTTTGAGAACTTAGAATTCCTATTTGATGGATATATGATAATCGCCAAGAAATGCAAGCTATCTTTAATTTAAAAATTTTAGTAGTGACTTTTTAAAAACTGAAAAGAAGTAGATGGTGTTAACTTTAATGACATAATTTAACTCAATATATCCATCATATTGTTTTAAAATGTACTCAGTTGTTTTAAATTAGTCTTTTTTGTATCAAGTATTTGAAATCTGTTATATATTTTACAATTAATGTGCATCTCAGTTGCCTCCTTCAATTGTGAAAATTACTGGATCACTCTGTGTCTCTGTTTCCCCGTTTTTACAATGATAACAGTTATAAGAATTAGATGATACATCACATGCCTGGCAAATGATAAGCGTTACACAAATCTTAGCTAATTTCCAAAAAAAAAAAAAAAATTTCAAACAGGTGAACATGGCATGTAATAACCTCACTCCCTCAAGACAAAGATTGTATTTTAGGAATTAAATTGTAATCCTCAAAACACTCATCTCTTTCCTTTGGACAATGCTGGACACACCTCTCTGACTCTTGTTTAAATTATTTTTTTTAATGTTTATTTTTGAGAAAGTAAAAGCCTTAGTGGGAGAGGGGCAGAGAGAGAGGGAGACACAGGGCTCCATGCTAACACCAAAGATCCAAGATGCTGGGCTCCTACCCATGAGCCATGAGATCATGTCCTGAGCCAAAGTCAGATGCTTTACCAACTGAGTCACCCAGGCACTCCATACATTATTTTTAAAAAGAAGCAAAATCATTATTGGTTCATTAATTGTGACTCATGTACAACACTAAGATATTAATAACAAGGAAAACTGTGATGGGAAATCTGGGAAATAAATCTCTTTACTTTCTACTCAATGTTTTTTGTAAATTCAGAAGTACTCTAAAAAGTAAATTCTGTTAATTAAAAACAAACCAATAAGGAAACTACTGTCTGCTATTAGTGCTTCATACATCTTAGTTGTGACAGAATCCGTCAGTAAAAGTGGTAGCATCATTAAAAGTATCAATGAGAGAAGTTTACTTATAGTTAAAAATATAACTTAATATTTCCTCTTTTTGTAGTCATTCATTATCTACCACTTTTTAAGTAATATATGGAAAACCTAAGCATAAAAAGTTGTTTTTACATCATGGTTACTGGGATGGGCAATGGGCAATTACTGGTGGCATTTTGATGCTAATGGAAGAAATAGTCCATATATTTTTTACACTATTGCTGGTTTTGAGAATATTTTCTTTTCCTAATTTCAGGTTGGGTGGGACTATATCAGCATACAAGATAGTACCAGATGAAATAGAAGAAATCAAGGTATAGTATGGCATTTTTCACCTCTACAAGGACTTAGTATCTTGACAGGTCAGGGAAGTGGGGGGAAGGATTGCTTTTTCTTTGTACTATTGAATCTTTGGGTGTGTTAGGATATCATTTATTTCACAGTTATTCTATTTTAATATATATATATATATATATATATATCAGATAGATTTCAATTACCATTATCAATGCATTTCTATGAAAAATATTTGGAAAATCAAAAAACAACCCTTTCCTATAAACTACGTTAAAAATCTACTTAAGAAACACTGTATAAAAGCATTAGAATGCATAGCAGATTATCTTTCTATTTTGTTTTAATTTATTTCCCCTGTAAGCTTTCACTAACTATAAATAGTACCAGTCTTCTAGAAAATATTTCCTGGTTCCATTGAAAACACAGTATGCAAACGGCGACTTAAAATTTGTAGTACATTAAATGAAAAATTGACCTTATTCTTTGAAAATCACATCATTATTGCATTCTTCTGTTTTTAACATTTTACTAAGTCCTATGGATTATTAGTCTTCTAGCATAACATGTTGCTCTGTAAGAGCAATTTACAATCCAGTGAGAATTGAATTTACTATCTGTTACATAAATAAAATTTAACTGAGTAGCAATAGTCAAGGGTAACAGTACTGAGTTAAATTCTTAACAATGACATGTAAAGATCTCAACAAATCATTAAGCTTGATTTAATCAAACTTTCCAAAATTGAGTTCAATAAACTCAAATCTTAGTAAATTATTTTTTAATTTGCTTGCATTATTTTTAAATCCGTTAATGTAATTAGTCTCTATTAAATAATATACTATTAGTTATAACGTGTCAGGCGTTCTGTGTAGCCAATATCAGGAACTAATTCAATAATTACATTCTAGCATAAAAAAAGTGTCAAATGACTCATTCGAACTTGATATAAATTCATAAAATAGTTTGGTTTGGAGAAACCTTAGGTCTAATCCAGCTTATGTTACTGAAAGAGGAGATATAAGGAATAAATTTGAAAGAAAAGAGGAATAATTTTGGACTTAATAATTTGAAATCTCTCTCAGATAACCAAATACTCATTAAATCATTGGATAAATCAGCCTGGAATTCAGAAGGAAGATAATTTTATCTTTCTGTTGATAGTGGGATTTGTCCTTATCCAAGAATTGCTTGAGGCCATGCTAGTAAATGGAATCACCTAAAAGGATATATGAGGTAATAACAGTGAACCAAAACTGTTGACCCATTTAAGAGCTAGAGGATTCATGTATTTTTTATTAGCTTAATTAATTAGCAAAAACATTGCCAATTTTTTAATATTTTCCTCTAAAGAAGTAATTTTTCATTGTATTTTTGAAATTTTAGAGTTATAAGAGTTATCCCTCAAGAAATTCCTTCAAAAAAAACATGATTCGTGGATGACATTAATATATGATTTTTTAAATTAATTGATGGCATTATATCTAAAACAGCTTCAGAGAGTTTGAGGCTTGAGGCATAAAAAAATATGAAATTGCTTCTTGCTTTTTAAAGTGTCAGAAGAAACCTTTTTATAAAATATTTCATCAACTTTTATTTGATGGCACCATTAGCATTTTCAACTGAAATCAGATATAATCTTTTTTGTTTGAATTGCAGGAAATGTGAAATATCTAGTTGTAATGTTCATTTTAGTTGGCAAATAACAGAGTAATTTTAAATATCTAAATAGTACAATTGCATTTAAATTTGAAATATATCCACAATATAACATGTATAAGTAAATATATATGTGTAGTTTATTATTAAATTATAATTGATTAATGAGGGGCACCTGGGTGGCTCAATTGGTTGAGCATCCGATTTCTGCTCAGGTCATGATCTCCTGGTCCGTGAGTTTGAGCCCCACTTTGAGCTCTGTGCTGACAGCTCAGAGCCTGGGGCCTGCTTCAGATTCTGTGTCTCCCTCTCTGTCTGCCCCTCCTCCCACTCATGTTCTGTCTCTCTCTCTCGGTGTCAAAAATAAATAAACATTAAAATATAATTGATTAATGAAACAATTCAATTTTTATAAGGTATGGTAATCTTTCACAATTTTTCTAGCACCAGAAATTATTATTTAGTTCATGCATAGTTTGAATTAAGCATGTATTTATTAATTACAATATATCACCTCATAGTCAATAGATGCTTGGCCAAAGGCTTAAGGGATAAAGTGCAAATACATTCCTGGCCCAGTTATGCCCATGTGTTCCACTCAATACCCTGAGTTTTTATTGTTTTCCATTCCTTGCTTTTATTTAGTTTTACTTTTATATACATCCCTAAATATTATAATATATTTGTATTTCTCTTTGAATTTTAAATGAATTATTTTGTGCCTTACTTATTTGGTTCAACACTATGAGATTTATTCATAGTGTTTTCTTTGGCTAAGATTTTGGAGGGTTTTGTTTTGTTCTTTTTGTTTTTGTTTTTTTGCTGTAAAATACTCCATTGCACCACAAATTATTGAGACTTCCCCTTCGCAGTGGGCATTCAGCTTGCTTCCATTTGGAGCTATTATGAGATATGATGTTATAAAATTCTTATAAAAGCATCCTGTGTAAAGTTTGTCTGAGGTATATACTAAGGAATGGAATTTCTGGGTTTTAAGTAATGTGTATTTTCAGCTTTTCTATATGAAGTCAAACTGTTTTCCAAGATAATTATACCAGTTATACTAGCACCTTGGGTGTATTTATTTTAAATAGAAATATTTAAATAGAAATATTTAAATAGAAATATTTAAATATACTACCACCTTGGGTGTATTTATTTTAAATAGAAATATTTTAAATAGAAATATTTAAATATTTAAATAGAAATATTTAAATAGAAATATTTAAATATTCTTTATCTGTAATTTATATCGGTATAAATTTTTATATATGGGATGACTAAACTTACAAAATATTTTCAAATATATTTTTATTTTCCCAGCCCAATTTATTGCAAAAGCCATCTTGTCCACTACTTGTTTGAGTTGCCTCATTTATCATATACTGAATTTTCCTATGCCTGGGTACACACATATACATACACAAGTCTGTCTTTTCCTGAACTTTTGTTTCATCCATTTATTTACCAGTTCCACTGCTAGCACCACACTGTTGTGGTTATAGTGCTTTTAAAACATAATAGGAAATGTTTGTGGATGGGGAGGGGTGTTTGTTATTCTGTTGGTTCATGTATTAATTACTCCAGATAATATTACGATAAGTTTATCAAATTTCAAAGGTATTCCTACCGATGAGACTTCTGGTTCTAGCCAAGATATAGTAGCCCTATTCTTCCCAGATGTTTTCTTTTATAACTGAAAACCCCTGGACATTACAAAATAAACAAGCATAGAAAGACTCTCAAGGGTAGGAAGAAGAAATCAGACTTTATAAGGTCTTCAGGACTTGAGGAATGATACAGCAGTGAGTTAGCTGGGTTTCCTTTTTGCCTCCTATTTAAACTGAACAGAACACTGATGAAGCCTCTAACCTGGAAATACCCACAGGTACAGACAAAACAAAAAAAAACTACAAAGGTCTGTCTCCTCAAGCCAAAGGACCCAGGACAAGGGTGGACTAACAGAACAAAAGCCTTTGTTAATACTCACCCTACTCCAGCCAAACACTAGTGGGGAAACTACTTAGTTCCCCCATGGTTTTAGCAAAGCCAAGCAGGAAGCTGATCTTCCACCTCACCCCCTGCTACCCCTAAAAGCAGATGGCAAAGCTTTGAATTTCTCCCCTGGTAGTGTTTGTTGGCAGGGCTGAGCCATTCAGTCTTCCACATGACAGAACAGATAGTGCTCTGATTTACCTGCCAGTATATTGTAGGTGAGGCCAAGTGGGTAGTTGATTTTCCATCAGCCCAGCGGAAACAGGCTGTGTTCTGCTTCCTACAGCAGGATATTGTTAGTGGAGTCCAATGATGAGCCAAGTCTCCACCCCCACCCAACAGCAATAAGGCTAAAGAGACAGCACAAGGTGGAACTACTCACCACTCTGCTTTACCTTCCCTTTCCTGTGTCACTGAGGCCTATAAGAGAAATGTAACTCCATCCCTGTCTGCATCAATAAGACTGAATGAGATGGAAATAATTGATACTTCATTCTCAGTACAAGTTAATCTTCTACCTGCCCTTTTGGTATCAGCAGGGCCCAGCAGGGAGCTGAACACATAACTCTTACTTTCAATAATGTGGAGGAAGGTGATGCCCCACTTTGGCCAAAAAGGTTTCAGCAGGGCCAAGAGAGGACCTAAACTTCTACCCTACTGTCTTTAATGAAGCAGTATGAAGCAGTGCCTCAATTTTGCCAGAGAGGTGTCAGTGGGACCCAGCAAGAAGCTGCACATATATATTCATATAGCCCTCATACCACACTACAACAAAGAGACATCTGCTTAAAAAAAAAAAAAAAAAAA